CTCTGCCCATCCCCCGTTGGTCTGTGTGGGGGTGCGGCCTCCCTCCCCCCAGAACTCCCCACGACGCCTGTCGGGGGGGGGGAATTCTGGGAGTCAAAGTCCACCCATCTTCAAGTTGCCAAGGTTGAGAAACGCTGATGTACAGCTTTGCAAAATTCTGCACAGCAGCATACAGAACATGGCAAACTCTGATAGACTCTAAACCTGGCCCAAGCAGACCATTATTTACATCCACGTAGCCTGTAGTCAATTCTGTGCCACCTTCAGCATAAGTCCTAGGCTTCACAGTTTTACATATTTATTCACAGCCTGGCATGGCATTATATATACCCGGATGCGTGGACAGCCACCCCACTGCTATCAGAAGGTGTCCAGGCTCATAAACATTTTAAGCAGTGCAATCTGAAATAACTATTTTTAGCCCCCAGCTGTTTAAATTTTAACCTCTAAACGTTAATCTCTATTTTCTAATCAGATAGCTCTTAGTTACCCCCTCCCTTAGATTTAGAGCTAATTTCAGCTATTTATGGCTCAGGTGACAAATTTGATATATAAATAAACAAACATAAAAATGTTACATGCGCGGTTGTTTTTAGCAGTTTTGTACTTCTCTGCATAGTTTTACATGGTTTGCATGGTTTACACTCTGGTTTCCCCCTACTGCAGTTTTAACGTAGTTTTATTTTTGTACGTATACTGGTTCCGGAGCACAGCCATAAAATATTTGATTTGTCTAGAATTTTAGAAAGCATTTATCTATTTGAAAAGCATGGAGGATTTAAAACATATTTCTATCCTCCAGGGACAGTATGAATATTGAAAGCACGTACATATTTATATAAAAATACATGTTACTAATGCATCTTGAGAAGTTCAACTCAGATAGGCAAAACGCCACTAAAGTTAAAAAGCCATACAGCTGAAAAATGCAGTGTGCTGATTAATTTAATTTAATCACCGGGATATAAAGACGCTCTAGAGTGCTTTAAAATTTAATTTTGACCATCACTTATGTCATAAGCCCCTCGTGTTTGTAGAACAGTCTGTACTGTACCCCATTCATAAAACAAAATAATAACAGAATGAATTGGACACATGATTTAGTTTATGTTATTCGATCATAACCAGGCGCTAGGCTGGCTGAGAAGGGATGTAGGCGCTGGAAGACACATGGATGATGTTCAGGGAATAAATAGTTTTGCAAGTTTTGAAGACCCTACAAAGATGTCCATTCGGCTGTTGCAACTTAAATAACAAAGGGAACTAGTATCACGGATTCCCTCGCTCCCTGATCATCAAACCATAATCAATATTTCTGTAAATGCCCTGTTGGGCTGCTTCAAGGATAGGGAGCACCGGAAATTCAGGCTTCTATTTTCACTTTCCCAATTTGGGAGCGCTCGCGTGCCACTGAGATGGACGCAGCAATTAAATTAAGCTGCACAAGCGTGCCTTTTAAGCGCAAATAAGCACATTTCTTTGATTTTCCACGCAGCAGGGACACGAACCTTCCCTGAGCCTGGTCCTGGTCCGCCAAGCCACACACTGCACCAGATGGACTGTCGGCCTGCTAGGAAACCACTCTCTCGCCCCAGCCCGCAGCTAAGATGGGGCAGGAGGACTCGAAGGGGAAGTGGGCTTCTTCCCGTGATGCGCTACCTCCGTTCCCCTATTTTCCTCCTGCGGGTTCCTTTTCTCCAAAACGGAATAAAAGTTTTAGTCTTAGACCCAGACCACGTTTGACACAGCGAGGTGGCACTGAAGCCACTATGAACAATTAGGGATCCCAGAGATTTTAGTCGGAATGAAGCAGGAATAACAGGTTGGATCCAACCTATAATAATTGATCGTTTTATAACAGGCTGGATCCAACCTATAATAATTGATCGTTTTTATGAACAATTAGGGATCCCAGAGATTTTAGTCGGAATGAAGCAGGAATAACAGGTTGGATCCAACCTGTTATTCCTGCTTCATTCCGACTAAAATCTCTGGGATCCCTAATTGTTCATGGTGGGGCGCGCTGACGCCGCCCGCCGTGCCAGCCAAGCAGGGCGCGCCCTGGGCTGGGGAGGGGTGGGCAGGAGACCACCAGGAGAGCAGCGATTGGTTCGAGAAGTCGCCGGGAGCTGAGCTGGCTCTGGAGGACTAACCGGCACGTTCCCCCTGCTTTTCTCTGCCCGGGAGGCTGCTTCGGACGGCGCAGGGACCCCTCGCGCTCCCACGAAGGGGGGCGACCCGGGAGAGCACAGGGGTCCTCTAGGGAAGCGGGGAGCCCACCGCCGGCTCCAGCAGCGCGGGCTGGGCGGGCGAGATGGGGTCTTCCTCCCTCCGTTCCCGCCCGAGTTCGCGATCTCGCCCCTTGGCCCCGTTTGGCGCCGCTTCCTTGCTTTGATTTTAAAAAAATTGAAGCAGCCAGGTCGCCGGGAGGCACATGCACTTAATAACTCATTGCTATGGTTTTCGTCTTTTGCTGAAGGCCCTTTTAAAGGGCAGCAATGGGGGCCTCCCCAATGGGCGGGGCGGGGGGGGACGCAATGCAAAGGGTCGATATTTGCAATCAGCGGATGGGTCTGTGTTGCATTCAAGAGCGCGAAACTGGGACGGGTCTCGGGAGGGCAGGGTCCAAAAGATCGATGGCTCCGATGGCGAGTTTTGTTTAGCCACGAAAACCTAATGGGGATACAATAAGGGGGGAAAGGGCGGTCAGAGCGCGCTTGCACCACGAAGAGCGCAAATTCAAGCACAGCCAAAGGCAATCCGGGGGCATCACCCCTTTGAGGTAGGCCAAGTCAAGACACCTCCGGGATCCCCAGGTTTGCCGCTGTGCTGCAGTATGAGAGCCTGGAAAACCTGTCCGCCTTTCTGCTCCAACTTACAATAAAATAAAGGCAGGGTTAGTTTGAATGTCTCCCCTTTGGACTGTGCTGTTTCTCGTCTAGATCGGCTCTTGCCTCCCTTCCCTAAGATCAGCAATACCTTCCTTTTTTAGAAGGAGCTGAAAAAAAAGGGTTATTTCGATAGAGGGAAGGGGACAGTGAGATGTGCAAAATGCAAGAGAAGAAACATCATAGAGGCGGAAATTGATCACGGCGTGACTTTGTAACTAGAGTCTCCAAGTACATACACCAGTGTTGTCCAAACTTGGCCACTTTAAGATGAGTGGACTTCAACTCCCAGAATCGCTGGCTGGGGAATTCTGGGAGTTGAAGTCCACTCATCTTAAAGTGGCCAAGTTTGGACAACATTGACATACACAAAAGATGGTACTGTAAATATAAAATCCGCATCATTAAATCTAAGCACAGTTCATGTCATCGTCGTACGGTTGGGTGGCTGAATACGCAGTGTTTTTATTTTTACTACGGTTGTGCCATTTTCGTATTTCTTTTATCCATCCTGAATTTATCAGTCAACGTTTTTTCCTGTCTGTATCCCACTTGTTTTTGGAGATGTGCCTTTCTGGCTATTTTCACTCGCTTTCGTTTTAGGACTGAGGACGTACGTTGCAGGGGACGAGACCTTGATGTTTGGCCAGCTCAGACAGAAGCGCTAGTGATTGATCTCATGGGCTTTGGGAGGCAGCCCCATCTTACTCCTGCCATCTGTCTCTTTGGGATGCCCACGCTGGCCAAAATTGCAAAATAATATAAAAGGTGCCGTCAGCAGAGTTTGTGGGAGACTTCAGGTGTCTTAAGTTAGATAGGAGATCTGTTAATCCCATTTGATGGGAAATGCCATCTTTGTTCCACTCCCTTTTGACCTTGGGAGTCTTTTCATAATGAAAACTCGCTGTTGCAAAGTCCATCTTGAGTCACCAAGGAGCCATATCAGTAGGTTGCATCCTGTGTGCTAGCTCTAATAGCACATAATTATTCGTATGACACCTTGCAGTGAAGTGACATTAATTACCTTCATAATTGCCCTTAGATCACACGTGTTTTTCAGGTGGCTGCCCTTCCTCGTGGCTTGACAACCTCTCTCTCTCATTTATTGCTTTTTAATCTATAATGGAAGAGGAAAAGGAAACAATAACTAAGTTTAATAACAAATGATAAAAGGAGAAGCTAAATGAAATAAACCAGATAATCTCAGATCTCTTTATCTATTTGCATTCGTGCATTCTACATTTGCATAGTGTTTCCCAGTACTGCAAATCTCCAAGTGATTTCCTACAAGGCAATTAAAATATAATACAAACATTAAGTTAAAACCAGTATAAAAGGAGTATATTCGTTTAAAGGTGAGGGAGGAAAACAGGAATAGTTCGGTCATCCTTCATAGCAGGAGAGGCACAGAAAAGATGTTGCAGCTCGGAGGTTATGTGCACAACAGTGGTTTGTGTGACCATCATAAGGCAGTGATGCTGAAGGGTGACGCATCACTCTGATACATCCTCGTGCAGAGATTCATGAGACCGGGTGAGTGTCCTCGTTGGCTGCACACTTGCCAATCTACACACCTTCATAACACGCAGCAGTATGATACAAGATTCAACTGGGCCATTGTGGTGTGCCCATTACACAGAAGATTAAGAGAGGAAGGTTAGCGCTAAAGGGATGCTATAGACAAACAAGTATGGTGAAACAACTGAGAAGCTTTCAAAATAATTATCACCTTTATCCATGAGAGTGTCCTGGGATTGCTATGTATTAACTTTCAGGAGTGTAGGTGTATCAGGACCTTCCCACGTTTCTGGCAACAACAGGTTGGAGTGAACGTACAATGGATTTGCTAGGCAATAGATTTTACTCCGACAGCCGTACTAATACAACACATTACCTTGGGATTTTTGATACAGTACTGCATTTTTGTTGAACAAGCCATCATGGTGCAGTTTGCACATAACCATAAGCCATAATGTAAAGGTGGGATGGGAAGTCTTAAAAAAGAAAGATGTATGGCAGATCAGTGTTTCTCAACCTCAGTAACTTTAAGATGTGTGGACTCCAACTCCCAGAATTCCCCAGCCAGCATATTTTGGTCTTGTACAAGTATTTTATTTTGGTAGGCATGTATATCTAAGTGCAGTAACAAGGTCTACTCTTCTGCTATTATGTTTATTTGTGGCTCAGCTCATGGTAGAGTTACTAAGAATCCAATTGGTGTAAGAGGGAAGAAACGTGGTTGCTTTCTGGAACTGTGCAAAGTTTTTGGAAGATACACTTCCCAGTGCACGTGAGCGATTCGGGAGACAGTTTGATTTGCCACACTCATATCCGATCAGCAACTCCAGATGGTCTAGATCAGTGTTTCTCAACCTCAGTAACTTTAAGATGTGTGGACTCCAACTCCCAGAATTCCCCAGCCACCCATCGTCATGGAGAACATCTATCAGTGTGGTCACTAGAGTTGACAATGACTTGATGGCACATCGTCAATCAATTGATCAAATAAGCGAGCAAGCAAGCAAACTTTTGGCATGGTGTATTGCGAGCCCAGCCTCACTGAGAGTCAGTGTGGTGCTTCAAGGTGTGAAGGGGTTTAATTAGCCCTGGGAAGGCCCAGGTTTGAATGGGCCCTCCACTGCATAAATGCTGTGCATGACTCTGGATCGCTCCTCCTCATCCAAGCGTCTTCACAAGGGAGCTGCTGAAAGAAAAACAGGAAGGAAATCGAAAGTGTGCGTGCCTCCGTTAATCAATCAAGCTTAGCAGCACTTCCAGGCCTTGCTATTGTACACACGGAGAGGGCATAGTGTGGCCAGGACTTTTCCATTGGCACTGCCTGAAATTGCCCCTCGAGGAACAAACTCAGCTGGGACTTCTCAGCAGGTGGCAGCAGCTGGTCGCTGTTGTCCCAACTCAAGGCAAAGCAGGTTGGGATTCAATTGGCATGCTTGGGCAGTGCGTCAGATTCGAAGGCAAATGCTCTTTGGCACGCTAGGATGTCATACCTTAAACCGAGCACATCTTTTCCTGGGGTTGCGCTGCAGCTGCGGAGGGCAGCCAGGCCCTTCCGAGAAAAGATGCAGCTGCTTTAGGGGAGAGAGACGCTACGTGAACATCTTGGTTTTAAATCATTCGGTTGCGAACCGCCCAGAGTCCCTCCTTGTGGGGGAGTGGGGCGGTGATATAAATTTGATTTATAAATAAATAAATAAATAAACATCTTGCATGCCCTGAAGCACCTTTTGCCTCTGAATCGGAAGGGCTGCAGTGGTTAGGACATCGGGTGGAGGCCACAGGAAATCCCAGGACCGGAGCCTAGATTGAAAGTCAACCAACATCCGGAAGAAGCCATGCTCTCGGTCACTGCTGGCTGGCTCATAATATCTAAACAGCACCTTGAAATCCCCATTTGAAGGCTGTTGACCATCTGAAAAAAAACTTCCAGGGAAACATAGAATAAAACAGCATAAAGTGTGATTATATCAAACACAGGGAGAATAAAAGGGCAGCAAAGCCTCAGAAATGAGCAGGATTACCGTCATGGGGTCTGCAGGGACGGGGGGAGAGGGGTAATCATGATGGCACGAATGGGATGATGTCATCACAGAAAGGCCCCAACTTGCCCATGGGCATCAGAGCATGGAAGGCAAGTGCGTAATGGCGGCATTTGTGGGATAACATCGCTGTGCACCAGTTGCCATGTTGCCATCGTTGTGGATTGCAGCTGATGCCACTGTACAAGGTCGTTCCCAGTGACAGGCGATGGAGAGCGTTACACTTTTCTTGATCGTACCTATCTCGCACACACATGTACAAACACACAAAAAATCTGCGCGCGGAATCATCTCCAGCTTCCGTGATTTTTGCTGCCAAAAAAGTTTTTGTGGGGAAGAGTGCCCTCTGCTGGTACGGAGATGACATTTGATGACCTACAGATCCAGCTGTTAGCATCCTGTAGTTAATGCCCTCGGATACCCATCCTATTAATGTCAGGGCAACTTAAAACAGTTTTATAGATTGCAGACTGTAGACTTAGGAACAGCTACTGTGATGAACGTTATTCAAAGTTTTCTAGTACTCAGAAATGATCATGAGTATACAAAATATACTCATTGGGGGAGATGGGCGGCATACAAATTTAATAATAAATAGAAAATAAATTTTAAAAATGCAGGAAATCTGGATTAGGAAACTGTTGGAGTCGAGGGCATATTTAGACTTTCTTGTGAGTGTGGATGCCCTCACAAAAACATCTACTGTACCACAGAAGTCTTAGCCTAATAGTTATTCATAAAATAGCTATTATGTTGGGCATGGCTTGACACAAAACATCCAGAAGTTTAAATAGCTCCCGGCCTCCACCTAGATAAGCTGGGGCTGATCGTGGCTGGTTGTATCTGGACTATTTGGGGATAATAATCTACTTCTAAGTAGACCACTGCTCCCATGGGGCTCTTCGAAGCAACCTAGACTCTAAGCAGGTGGGCCGGTCAGTCTGGTTCCTGTGTCAAGGTCAGAATCCATGGGTGCAGAGTTAGGGGCTGTGGGCCTTATCGTAGTCTTGGTTCCAGTACTAACATCTAGTTCTCCACCACTGAGACTGTGGTGGATCTTACCTGGCCCCTGTTCCTTTTCTCAGAAGGCTGTAACAAGCTAGACCTGAAAAGGATCTAGTGACATGAAAGTTACTTTGTCAGACCTGTATCTGACCTAGATAGATCTCCAGGCTTTCCTTGGAAGACTGAGAGACAGATATGGATAACTATCAGCCCCACCCTGAATTCCAGCATGGTATAATCCCAAAACAGATTGAAGAAGCACTACTCACTGGGTCACAGTTAAATCATGATACCTCTCTTTATTTTCAGTATTGGCCCTAAAGCCAAACCTTCAAGAAAATACCAAATTAGATTTGAATTTCCATGGGTGACCCCCAAGACAATCAAACTGCAGGGACAATTAAACCACGGAGAAACCCGTCAAGACTTTGACTCCTCCCTTGTACTTGGAAACCATCTTGAAGCACTTCTGTTTTACAGAAGATTGAAATGGTAGCTACTTACTTAACTAGTTCTTCCTTGTGTCCCGATGACTGTGCCAACAATGAAAAGAATGGAAAACGGGTCTTGCCATGGGTGTGTGGTCCTGAACAGTGTCCATTCTTGTTTAGCCAACTTAATGCCAGATTGCAGTCTAAGAGTTATGGAATTGCATCCTGCTTCTTTCTTCTCCCTCCCTCTTTCTAGAGCAAATGAAGACCAGAAACCCTACTGAACTCAAAGTTACATTTGAGCACGCGTAAGGCGAAGATCTAGGACCCCAGGATACCAAGACCTTCGTGGAAGACTGAAAAGCTACAAAAGTGAAGGTTGGAGAGGTTTCTGCTTAGTTTTACTTTTTGAGTTCCCAGAGAACTTGGCCTCATCAACTGTGTGCTTTTAGAAAAGATGAGTGGCTGGGTCAGGACCAAAGATGATGCTTAGCAACACAGCAAGGAAGGGAAAGGTCATTTATTAGCTTTCATCATGAAGAAACAGACCTACAAAACGTCAGCCTGAAGGACACATCTCTTCTGCCTTCTGCAACATTTCAGGTGCATTGGACTACAACTCCCATCATTTCCATCCAACTTGACCATGTGCTGCAGTCATATTTGTCTGGAGGTCACTAACCATTTTTAAAAACCAGAGATAGAAATTCCAGAGTAGTACTGGAAAGAACAGGGAGAAATACAGCTTTATTCATAAATATGTCCATTTCAGATGGATTTATTCCCAAATAAACAATGCATAAATTGGCAAGGAATTGAAAGAGACATAAAACTGGAAACATAAAACTCTTGGTAGCTTAATTCCTCTGGAGATTATGAGGAGATAAATCAAATATATGTCATGTAAACATAATACTTTATTGATGTTTCATATAATCACTGGATGCTGTGCTTGTTGGTATACATTTTTTTCCCTTTCCTAACTTGAGGTTAACTGTTTATTGCTTCTTATACTGCTATCGTTTAAATAATAATTACTATTATTTATAATTAATTAGTGTAAACCAGCTCTATATATGTATGTATGTATTGTGTGCATATCCATCA